CTGCTTCTGAACAAAGCGCCGAGGAGATATTAGCAGACTTGAAGGTGGAAGGGCCTGCCTTAGGAGAGAACTGCAGAACACGTCCCGGTGCTGCCGCAAGAACGTGCGCGAGAACCTGACATAAAAAGTTCAACTGTTGTAAATACGATACAACAAGCCAGCCACTCACAAGGGAGTAAGCCATCAAAGATGGGCGGGAGTATCTATCCATTCAAAGAAAGGTAACTATGAAATATTAGCAATTAAGAAGCTGAGCAGCAAACATTCTTGACAACAAAGTGAAATTTAAACTATGCCCAATAGCATAACCCTGTGCTTTTCACATCACAGACGAACTTATCAACTGCTCGCATCAGAACCACCAGCAGGAAACGAGGCGCCGCAGGTGAGAAACTGGGTTTGGAGTCAGAACGGTCCCGGTTCAAATCTGCGCTCCACCAAACAGCTGACTTAGGGCCGGTTACTTAGCATGTGCCTCAAATACCAACCTCCCTTGGGTGGTGGTTGTGCGAATGCATGTCATGAATGTTATCTGACACTCACGAGGAAGTTAAAAATAGCAAAATTATCAACTGCATGTAAAATGTCAATTCGTTGATCACCAGCATCAATGACCATTATTTTTTAAAGGTGAATTTCTTCGGTACTTAAAATATTAAAAATGTTTTTAAAGTATTTTTAGTTCAAACGTCACAGAAGTGTAAAAGATGTGATATTAGTACGTCTTCCTCAACATCTCACACTATTTCTAAGTAAAGTGGCGTAACGAGAATCAGCCACTTTGAAGTGCACAGTTCAGGGGCACGCAGTCCACGCACCGTGCTCTGCAGCCAACGCCATCGAGTTCCCCAGCCCTTCACCCCTGGAGGGACCCTCCCCCGCTCCCCGCTCCCCCAGGCCCCGCAACCGCCATCTGCATTCTGTCCCCATCGCGCCACCTACCCCGAGACTTCTGCGAACGAACCCTCCGTGCGCGACCTTTCGCATCTAGCGTCTCTCACAAAGCACAGCATTTTCAAGGTCTGCCCACGTTATATCATGTCTCACTTTAATTGAATGTTATGGTTTAATAACATCCCAGTGTATGGATCATCCACAATTTTGTCTGTCCATCCATCCATGGGACATTTGGGCTGTCACTGCCTTTGGCGACTGTAAATGGTGCTACACTGGTGTGTGTGTGTATGTGCTTGAGTCCCTGATTTCAATTCTAAGTTCAGCTGAGAATGCGTTAATTTTCCCCTCATTTTTGAATGATACTTTTACTGGATATAGAATTTTTGATAGACAGTTTTTTGTTTTTTTTTACTATTTTAAAAATACCACTGTGTTCTTCCAATTTCTCATCTTACTGGAGCCCCCACATCGACGAGTGGCGGCTCTCGTGCTCTCGGCCTTGGCTCCGGCACAGCCGACGCGAGGTCCCAGGGCTGCTCTCCACGCACTTCCCTCCCCAAGGCTCCACTCCACTCCCCACGCTGCCGACGCCCTTTGTCAGGCGGAAGCTAACGTCTCTCCTGCTTTCTCCCCTCTGCTTCTGAGAGGCCCCATCGATGTGCACTCACATACTTGCTGCCGTCCCGCACGTCTCCCAGGATCTGTTTATTTCTCGAATTCTCCCTTTTGCTCGGACTGGATACTTCATGGGACCCAGGTTCAAGTTCACGGATGGTTTCTTCAGCCTACCTATCTGCTACTGAAACTCAGTAGCAGTATTTTTCTTTTAATTTACTGTACTTTCCAGCTCCAGAATTTCCCTTTTATTTCTTTTTCAGTGGTTTCTATACTTTTATTGACATTTTGTATTTATTAATACATCATTCTCCTGGTACCTTTTAGCAATTCATTCCTTTAGCTCCTTGAGCATATGTAAGGCAGTTGACTTAGTACTTGTCTGGTAAGTCCTCAGAAATAATTTTTCTTGTGTAGGGTGTAAGCTGATGGTCTAGTTTCATTTTTCTGCATGTAGCTGTCCAATTTTCCCAACACCATTTATTAAAGAGGCTGTGTTTACTCCACTGTATGAGAAATAATTTTTCTTAATGTCTTCTGTGAACAGACCACTTTGGTTCTTGGCATATGCTATAGCTGTATGTTTAGTGACTTTTCTAAACCCATTTTGGCAAAGTGTGTATTCTCTGTCGTCTGTGGTACTGGAAAGAGATGTCCCTGCGTGTAAGGGAAGGGAGTGGGGAGAGTGAGGGAGAGAGAAGGAGAAAGGGCAGGAGAGGAAGGAAGGAGGAAAAGAAGGAGAGAGGGAGGGAGCAAGGCAGGAGGCTGCATGCGGAGGACCAGGAAACGGCACTTGTCAATGCCCTAGTTTTCCAAAGAAATTCTCTCCCCAACTTTTTCTGCCGGGAATTCGACACTGCTATATGTCTCAAATGTTTCTTTTGGCTCAGGCTACTGCAGAGGTGCCTTAGCCTTACATGTGCTTGGGAAACGTCTGCTGCTTTTGGCTTTTCTGCCTTGTGTGAGTTCCAAGCAGGTTAAGAAAAAAAGACTAGCATGTTGAGTCAGTCCTTCAAGCACCTCAGACAAGTCCGACAGCAAACGTAACGCTTTCAACGGAGTTCTGCTCCGTTCCCTTCACGGCAGGTGCAGAGCCCACACTGAGAGCCTGGGCTGCTGTCTTCCAGCCGGGCCATGACGGGAGGGAGGGAGAGGGAGTGTGTGTGTGTGTGGGGGGGGGGGGGGGGCCAGGGCAAGTGAGAACACAGAAAGCCTCCCTACTGCTTTTAGGTTGCCCTTTCTTGGATCGAACGACCACCTGGGTGCTGTGGCCTGACCCTCCGGAGCTCTGATGACGCGAGCTCTCACGGCGCCTGCTGGTCTGTCTCTGCGGAAGAGAGGGCGGCAGAGCTGCCTACGCCGCCACGTTCGCTGACAGCACACCACTTATTTTTGAACTTATTTTTGAATGATGCAATTAATGCACAGAAACAAATCTCTGCTCTACTCAAATACTACAGTTAAAACAATTTTAAAAACAAGCCAGGCTCTTTACTATATTCTAAAAAGACAACCAATTTACTTAACCATTCTGGAGACTCTTTTCCCCAAACTAGAGCAAACCTTCCTTCCTATAGCAGACGGTCCCTCTGCCAAGAGCATCAAAGCTTTTCAATAATTAATTTTCCAATTCAATCGAGAGTGATCTTTTCAACAAATGGTACGGGGACAATTTCATAGTCACGTGCAAAAAAACATGGACTCACCATAGGCAGAATAGGAAATTAAGATGGATAACAGACCTGAATGTAGGAACTAAGACTGTGAAATTCCTAGAAAAAAATATAGAAGTAAATCCTTGTAATCTTGGATTGGCAAAACATTTCTTAGGTATAACCCCAAAAGCATAAGCAACAAAAGAAAAATGATGAGTTGGACTTCACCAAAATTAAAAACTTTTCCACATCAGAGTATACCATCAAGGGAGAGAAAGTACAACCCACAGAATGAGACAAAATATTTACAAATCATATATCTAACAATGGCGTTAAGTCCAGAATATATAAAAACCTCTTATAACTCAACAATTAAAAGACAAATAACCCAGTTAAAAAGTAGGCAAAAAATCTGAATAAAATTTCTCTAAAGAAGATATACAACTGGCCAATAAGTACATGAAAAGATGTCAACGTCATTAGCCTCAGGGACGTGCTAACCAAAGCCACAGCGACGCTGCTTCCCCTCCACTGGGAAGGCTCACCCGGGAGAGGGACCCGGCAGGGCGACGACGTGGAGCAACTGGCTGGCGGGTAAACTGCACAGCGATCAGGAAGCACTCTGGCAGTTCCCCGAAACAGAGTTGCGCAGCCTGGCAATTTCACCCCGAAAAGCATACGTGACGTCAGAGACTGTGCACAGATGTGTGCGGCAGCATCACTCACAACAGAGACATGGAGACAACGCGGCGCATCCACGTGACGGGCAGACACCACGTGGCCCCCGCTGGGAGGAGCGCTGACCCTGCGGCAGCCCAGTGCCTGGGAGGGTCTGTGAGTGAAAGCAGCAGTGACCAGAGGCCTCGCGCTGCCGGTTCCGCGGAAGTGGACTGTTCGGAAGAGCGGATCCCCCGACAGCGTGGAGTAGCGGCTGCCGGCGCTGGGCCAGGGCAGGAAGGAGCGAGAATGGGGAAATGGCTGCTGAGACAGCCCCGGGTTCTTCACAGGATGTGCACCATGTTCCAGAGGTGTGGTGGTGACGGTGTCCGACTCTGAGTACCCAAATCCACTGAGCTGTATGCTTCAGCCACATGTGTTATATGAAATGAATCCCAATAAGGTGTGAGAGAATTTTCTGGACAAGATTATTTTGAATGAATAGTTCACTGTACAAATGTGCATAAACAGAAGATACAAAGTCCGTGCTAAAAGTCTTCATTCTAAACACACTCCAAGGTCGCTGGGTGTGGATGTCTTCCTCCCCGCCAGGTCTCTTTCCACTTCTCTGCATCAGAGCCTGTTCATAACGGCCTCCCCCATCCTCCTCAGAAATATCGCTTCTTTTCTACTGGAACAGACAAACCAAACGAGCTCTTTGAAAGCGTAGAGCCAGCCCTGGAAGACGCTCAGGGGAGCAGGCACAGTCAGCACCTCGCAGCCTGACCATTCTAGGTGCTCAGAGCCCTGAAGTACGGCGCGCACTGTCCGAGCCCTGACTGTGTCTACAACGTAACTGAGCGGCGTGGACGCGGTGATGTCGTGCGTCACAGAAGACGTGCAGACACCAGCTGGCTTCACGTGCGTCTAGTGCATGTGCGTTATCCACCCGCTGTGACCCAGCACCTCATGCAGGCACTGATACACATGTGTGTGTGTGTGTGTGTACATGCAGTCCATCTAGAAAATGAATCAAAATCTACCCTGAAATTATATTACAATAAGAAAATTAGATACCATATGCAATCATTAAGACATATTTTCTTTCATTTATGTTAAGTCTAAAATGATGATGACACTGAACAAATGGTAAACGGGATGAAGTGTCTTGCTGACCTCTTACTGTGAGCTTGCTGTATAGTTGTGAATTCACTTCCTTGTCTCGCTGAAAACGCCGAAATTCATCAATTGCTTCCCGCGTGATAGTAACAGCCAAGACAAATCCCTAAAAGGCAAAATGAAATAAGGTATCTAAGAAAACTTTAACAAAAAAAATAAGGGAAAATTACTTTTTACTATTTAGTTCTACTTTCCCCTCAATTTACAGACGTCCCTTGAACAACACGGGCACGACCTATGTGGGTCCAGTTATGTGCAGTTGTTTTGATGCCTGCTCTGTTTCTGACCTGTGGTCGGGAACAATGATGGCGGGGGTGGGGGGGTGGAGGACACAGGTATGCTCTGTTCCACACCATTCTACAGAGGGGGCTTGAGCATGTGATTATTTTGGTACCTGTGAGGGCATCCTGGAACTGAACCCCGGTAAATGTCCTGGGACAACTAAGTTTTGGGGGAATGGGAGTCAAAAGTTATGAATTTTCGACTGTGTGTGGACCTAACCCCCATGTTGTCCGGGGATCAAGTGCAAATTACTTATAAAATGTAAGTAAATGAAAACAAAGAGAAAAGACAAAAAGTAACAATGAAACACTATAAAAGGAATATAATACATAGTAATAGATTTATAATTCTCACTATTCCCAAGACAATTTTTTGTTGTTGTTGTTGTTAATCCTTACCCAAGGATACTTCTCCATTGATCTTTAGAGAGAGAGTAGAAGGGAGGGAGGGAGAGGAAGAGAGAGAGAGAAACACATTGATTGGTTGCCTCCTGCACAACTCTGACCTGGACCAGGAGTCAAACCTGCAATCCAGGTACGTGCCCTTGACCAGAATCAAACCGACCAGAATAGATCCTTTGGTCTAAAGGCCAACACTCTAAATGCTGAGCCAAACTGGTCAGGGCATCCCCAAGACAATTTTTTAAATTTGCATCATAATATGTACTTCAAGCTAAATATCAGAAGATACTTAGTAACCCAAACAAAAAATAATCTTCAATAAATCCATCAAATTAGGTTTGGAACATTCAAGCATTCAAATATCAAATTAACAAAGACTGAGAGAAAACTCTTTAAATGTCTGCACTCAGATCATAAAAAAGCATTTGGAACAGAAAACAAGGCCCAGGCATGACAGCTGCCGGGTGGATTCCTCACCCAGCGCCACACCGCGCACCAGCGCCCAGGGCACAGCTACAGTCAGTGCTCATTCTAGGTAAGAACCTGAACAGATTCATGCGATGCCATCTAAGTAAACTTTCATGTACTTGTAATCTATTATGAACTGTGACACCACTAACACATGGCTTGTCCACTAGCATGTGGCTAACGTCTATCTCTTTGAAAGGCTACATTCGTGTTTCCTAGCACACGGTCCACGAACAGCCAACCACCCTCCCCATGACTGAATGGAGGTTCTCTGTGGGCTTCGTGTACTGCAAACGTGCTCCAGGCTAGTCTACACACAGCGCCCCACCGGATGAATTCCCACTGAAAGGACAGCCATCTTTCATTCTAGTTTTTCTCTGCACAACCGACAGGCTAAATTAAGTGGGCCACTGGAGCATGTTTCTTGTATTTACTGAACTGCACCCCTCTTTATGCAGTCGCCCTGAGTGCTGGAGGGAGGCTCCAGCCCAGTCCTCATGGCCCGGCGCTCCACTGGCCCACTAGCCACCAGTCTGGACCTTCGTGGTGCCTCCTCCTACACTCGGCCCACCACTGACTGCCAAGAGCTCACTGTGCTCTCCACCGGGACCTGCTGGACCTCTGTTCCCGGCACATGACCAGGCTCATACCCTCCTCAGGTCTCCCCCACGGCACCCGTCCCCACCCTCTGGCCTCATTCCCTCAAAGTCACCCCTCCCGACATCACCAAGTGTCTCCTACAATATAAAATACGTAGCCAAATCCTCTCCTAGGGACGGACTCAGCAATTCCCTGCCCTGAGCCCTCGACAGCTCCCTGCTCCCATCCCTTTCACTGACGCACGACGTTAGGAGGGCACAGCTCTCTGGCCTCCTCGCCCTCTCCATGCTGCTTCCTCCTCCGACACTGGGCACGCTCAGCAGTGTCCTGGCCTTCACAGGCCCATCTGGCCTTGCCAAGGCGCCAAGCTGTCTCCAGCGGCTGCAGCGAGCACTGCTGGGAGAAGTGCTCCGAGTCGCTCTCGCTCACGGAGGGAGAGCCTTGAACAGCTGGGACGTCCCATCCGCAGAGGGCACTGCTGAGAGAAGCGCTCCGAGTCGCTCTCGCTCACGGAGGGAGAACCTTGAACAGCTGGGACGTCCCATCCGCAGAGGGAGGAGGGCACCACGCGTCTGCACAGGCTCCACTGACGGTAACAGCGGACGAGCAGAGTGACCCTCGCTTAGGTCCTTTAGCACACTTAAAACAGCAGCAGTTTTGAGAAACAACTCACATACCATAAAATTAACCCTTTGAAAGTACGCAATTCATTTCCCCCCCAGTAATTCAGAGTCGTACCATCACTACCATCTAATTTTAGAATATTTTCTTTCTTTTTTTTTTTTTAATCCTCACCCGAGGACCTTTTTGCATTTTTTGTTCAGACAGAGCGGGAGGGAGAGACAGGAAGAGAGAGAGAGAGAAACATCGATGTGAAAGGGACACATCGAGTGGTTGCCACCCGCACGACCAACCAGGGCCAGGGACAAACTGCAACCGAGATACGTGCCCTTAGCGGGAACCGAACCCGGGTCTCTCTGGACCGCAGGCCAACGCTCCAACCACTGAGCCAAACCGGCCAGGGCAAATTTTAGAATATTTTCAATGCCTCAAAAACAATCCCTGTACCCAGCAGCAGTCACCCCCTTCCCTCCTGCTCCCAGCCTGGTAACCGCTGACCTACTTTCTGTCCCTACAGATGCGCCTCTCCTGGGTGACACGGTTAACGCTGTCCTCAGCATTTTCATGAAAAGCCAAACTGGTTTCCAAGGTTGCACACTGTTCACGTGCTCACTGGCCACCTGAGCATCTTCTTTAGAGAAATGTTCACTCAGGCCCCACATCTCCTTTTTACCCAGGTCATCTGTCTTTTCATTAAGTTTTACGCGTTTTTTATATTGTTCTGGATACAAATACCTTGTCGGACATCTGATTCACAAATACGACGTTACAGATATTCTCTCCCATTCCAGGGCATCACTTTCTGTCTTTCTTTTTTTAATCCTGACGTGAGAATATTTTTCCACTTATCTTCAGAGTGGTGTGTGTTGGGGGGGGCAGAGACACATCCGTTGGATGCCTCCCACACGGCCCTGCCCAGGGTCGGGGACTGAACCGCAACCGAAGTACGTGCCCTTGACTGGAACCGAACCTGAGACTCTGGTCCTCGGGTCAACGCTCTAACCATGAGCCACGCCGGCCCGGTCACATCACCATCTCAGGTGTCCTCTGAGACAGAGCTTTGATTCTGATGAGGTCCACATCACTATTCCTTCTGGCCCTTGGGCTTTCCGTGTTCAAGGTCACAAAGATCCAGCCCTACGTTTTCTCCAGGAGTCCTCCAGTTTCAGCTCTTTCAGTTAGGAGTAGGAGCCATTTCGAGTCCCTTCTGCACATGCTGTGAGGTAGGGTCCAGCTGCACTCTTCACACGTGGCTGTCCGGTTGTCCCCACACCACTTCTTTCTCCACGGGACTGTCCCGGTAGCCTTGTCAGAACCAATGTGTCGTAAACGTAGAGGTTTCTCTGGACTCTCAATCGTGCCCCTTGACCTGTACGTCTGTCTGTGCTAGGACCACAGTCTTGATTACAGCAGCTTTGTAGTAAGTTTTGAAACGGGAAGTGTGAGTTTTCCAACTTCCTTTTCTTGGTGGTACAGGCTCCTGCGCTGGGCCCTGGCACAAGGCTGACCGAGGGAAGGCGAGGCTGATGCCTCCATCTCCGGAACCGGGGGCGTGATGAGTGGACTCCACCTCTGGGCATCTTCTGCGGTGCTGGCCGCGTCCTGGCGGTCTACAGAAGTCTGTGGAGTTGTGGGTGACAAGTCTCCCTGCAGGCAGTGGGCCCTTCCACGACGCAAACCCAGGCCTGGCGTTGGCGCTGTGGCACTGCTACTAGAAAATCCAAACCTGAACATGGAGTGTCTTCATGAGATACTGTCACCGGAAGGCGAGCCATTCAGTCAGACTTGCGTGACAGGAGTGTCTGGGCGGCCTGCCCACAGCCGTACTAGAGCTGCGTCTCAGAGTGCAGTCTTTCCTCCTCCTTCTCCGGTGACTCGGGAGCACACAGGCCTAGGGCCACAGCAGTCCACGTTTGTGGAGGAGAGAACAATCAGCCCTGGCTGACTTGGCTCAGCAGTCAAGAGTATCGGCCCGTGGACCAAAGAGGTTGCAGTTTGATTCCCAATCAAGGACACATACCTGGGTTGGAGGTTTGATCCTGGTTGGTGTTGTGCAAGAGGCAATCAATCAACGTGTCTCTTTCACACCAATGTTTCTCTCTCTCCCTCCTGTCCACTCTATCTAAAAATCAATGGAAAATATCCTTGGGCCCTGGCCGGTTTGGCTCAGTGGTAGAGCACTGGCCCACAGACCCATGAGTCCCAGGTTCGATTCCAGCCAGGGGCACGTACCTGGTTTGCAGTTCGTCCACGGCCCTGGTCGGAGTGTGCAGGAGGCAACCAGTGTATTTGTCCCTCTCACGTCAATGTTTCTCTCTCTCCCCCTCTCCCTTTCTCTCTATCTGAAGATAAACAGAAAAACATCCTTGGGTGAGGATAAAAAAAAAAATATATATATCCTTGGGTGAGGATAAAAAAAAAATGTCCTTGGGTGAGGATTAACACAAAAAAGAGAGAGAAAATGCTGTCAACGTGTATTGCATCAGTTTTCCTGAGGGTCATTCTGTGCAGACACTTCTGTGCACACTAGAGGAGCTGCCCTTTCAATGTCACGAAACCTCACGACACGGCACCTTTCGCTCACGTGCAGCTCAGGACATGAGGGAACACGTGTCAAGTGTCTGGACGGAGGGACGGTGAGGCTGTTTCCTTCCCTCCACTGCACAGACTCATGGGAAAGGCGGACAGAGCGAGCACCTGCAAGTCAGACTGGCCAGCAGTCCCTGTGCAGTGCCCTCGCCCACAGCCTGCCTGGCTGCCTTCAGGTACCAACGAAGTATCAAAGACACTAGGTACAGAAGACACAGTTTAAAATCCTATTTTCTTCACCTAAAAATCTTGGCGCGGACAGCTCCAGCCCTGATTAGCTCTGACAGAAGCACTACCATCTGTCCTGTCACTCTGATCAACTAACTTTGCCTTGAAGAATGTCTGAAAGCTGAACAATATGAAGGGAATCTTCACTCTGACCCAGCAGTATAATGAAGCCACTTCATTTTCAGTTTACTCGTCTATTATGTGAGAGAACATAACAGACATTAGTTTGCAGCTGAAGCCAGTAAGTAACATTGCCAGGAGTAATTGGAAAAGAAAGATTATTAATTAAGCGATCAGTGTTTTCAGAAACATCCCATGTCAGAGAGCAGAGGGAATGTTTGAAGTAGCCTGGTTTCTGTAAAACTGGTGGACACCAGACACAAGATCTTACAGCCAGCAGCTGTAAGACATCTGGTGCTTCCCCGGCCATCTCTGGCTGGAGGGACGCAGGCGTGCTGACCTCTCCTGTGCGCAAGCTCCCAGGAGCGCGGAGCTGGCAGAGAAAGATGTGCAAGGTTCCCTGTGTGTCTGAGACCACGCACCTCAGGCCCGGGACACGGGGCTGCGATCGCAACATCCAGGCAGTGAAAGAGCAAGAACTCGGGGCTCAGGGAGAAATCCCCCTGAAGATACTTCCTTTGTTCAAAAAACAGGAAGAAAACAAACAGCACTTTTGCCATGAGACTTGCAGGTCGCACAGAGCCTACAAGTGCATCAGGAATAATGTACAACTGAATGGTCATCACAGCACCTAAAAGCTGCCTTTCCCAGGAAGATGGACACACACTCTCTCAAGATGGAATACTTCAGAGGAAGAAAATGGATGAGCTAGATCTCTGGGTAAACCAATGTTAAGCTAAAAAGCATGTGGCAAAAAGATACACAGAGTAAGATGAACTTTGTATAAAATTCTTAAAGCGTGCAAACAGTACCGCAAGCTGTTCAACGACACAGATGCAAGCACTGAAGCCACGATGAGGACAGAGCAGGGGCACTTTGGGACTCCTGCCAAGGGCATAGCTGTGGGCTGGGAAGGGTTTGAGGACACAACTCCGACATCTTTTAACAAAAGTTCACTGACACAAAGCAACAATATCAGGTTTCTAAACATCTGATCAATTTATCTATTAAACATTTTAATTCTTAAAACTATATTCTAAATATTTAATCATTTAACTTGATTTCAAAAATCTCTTCTTTTACCAGAGGAGCCCAGTAGGTGTAGAGATAGCCAATTTTCAGTGCTGGCACAAACTGGGAGCAGGAGACTACCAGAAAATAGAGATTCAAGAAAAACTTGAATTGTTCATACAAAACCTGAAAAGGAAAAGAAAAAGTTAACACAATCTCTCCAAGGAAAATCTTTAATACCTCATTAAATCATTAAAATCAGCACAATACCTAACTAACTACATTTCTATCAAACAGTAACTGTAATAATTTTGACATTAGCTTTCCAATAACTAGATCACATATAAAGGTAAGGTTACCCCCAAACTGTATTAAAAACAAACGGATCAAAGCCCCTTAGAACCTGACTGTGTTAAGTACCCTTGGAAGCTGAGCGCCGTGTGGCGACCTTCCCTTTCCTGCCCTCCTCGTCCTGTGGCTCCTGGTGCACAAGCAAAGGGCAGAGCAGAGCCCTCCCAGTGTCAGCAAGTCTCTCTCTCTCTCTCTCACACACACACACACACGTACAGACGTGTCCTGGTAACAACTCAGAAAACATTATAATGGAAAAGTTGTGTTAACTGTACATTCATAAAATGGTAAAAAACAAAACATGAATGTGAACTTCTGGGTAGCTTTATAAGACTAAGTGAACAAGCAAAACATACACAGGTGTGACTTCTCCCTAAAATTCCCTAACATCCTCAAAGTATTTATGTCCCTCATTTATATGATGAAATATAAAGCTATGGAAATCACAGGCCAATTTTCAGGGAGATAGCTACCTATACAGTCTTTACAGTCCCTTGGGAGTTGATCATCAATACTTTCAAATATAAAATAAATACCATCATCCAATAAAATTTTAGGAATGTAAATCCTGCAACTTATTCTTTTTGCTTAATTCAGATAGAATTATCTTTAATGAAGAAAAAACAAGATCTAGTATATTAACAGACTTCTATTTATAAATTTCCAAATTAATAGATTTAAATTTAAAATCAAAATGAAACAAAATTCATGATTATAGAATAGTTCACACAGCACCACAATCACAAACATGCAACTTGCAAATCCGAATCTCCTCGGATCCCTCACGTGTGCAGATGGAGGGATGGAGATGCTCAGAGAGCAGAGCCGCGGCTTAGGCCCCGCTGACTTAGAGTCTAGAGCCACGCTTCTGCACGATGGGGCCGTCTGCATCGCCACAGTCGTGTGTGTGGCTGCAACATCGATCACATTGGTAACGTGGTCCTGTTCATAATCGTTCAACTGCTGTCTCGAATGTTTGGAATCATGTCATACACTAATCTCAGCAGGACAGAAAGCCCTCTTCTCCTCAGCGACTTCTTTAAAATCTCAGTCAGCATAAATTATACCTATTAGCAATTCAGAAATTGCCATTCATGCTAAAGATGGAATGGAATTCCTACTGTGCAATTACCAAACGTTTCTAAAATACTGCGCTTCAGATTAAAAGACTAATTTGAGAGACCGTTTCAGGAAGCAAGGGCTCCCACAGAATCGTGCAGCCCATCAACAGGTGCGCAGGGCAGCGTCGCAGACTGTGCGGCCTCACGGGGAAGGTGAGCTGCGCTGTTGGCTCAGACCGCTGCATCAGTGCTTCACTGTCTACTGAGTGAACATGGTGACCTTGGGAAACTGCACAACACTTAGCCAACCTATGAGTGTTTCATAACTTAAACCTAAAGAGAAAACAATAGCTTCATTCATTAAAGATGAGAATATTTATCTGCCTGAAAGACACTTGGCATTTTATTGTCCTGGCAGATCATTCTTTTAATTGGAGCCATTAGTTCTGTGTGTTTTAATAAAGGATCACAGTACTTATCGAGCACTTGCCAATGACTGGAGGACAGACGGGTGGCGAGGCAATCAGTGTCCACGCGGAGTCCGCTTGATAATTTAGATGAAAACACAGTCGGCCCTCATTTATTGCGGCGGATCAGTTCCAGACTCCACCACCATAAATGAACTTCCGCGAAGTAGGGTTCTTTATTCACACAGTCGTCCCTCGCCACTTCGCACTTCACGCGATAGAGTGAAGCCGCGGAAGTCGCAGCGCAAAGTGGCGAGGGACTGTGTGAAGGACAAAGCGGCCCTCATGTCACATAATCCAGAGATTTTCTTACAAAATAGTGTAAGAGCTAATACTCAGAACATGTCAAAAACTCTGATACAGAAATATAATCAGTACCAGCTTCCTCTGGACTTGAAAACCATAAATAAATCTGTCATTAAAACAGGAAATGCACCAAAACAAGAAATTATTCAACTATTTGGTAGTCTAAACATACATAAACTCAGCACTGCAATTCAATAGAAAATAATTAAGTACTTGAGGTTCAGTATTTAAAAGGAGAACACCAAGGAGAACCAATGACACGGCAGCACGACGAGGTGTGGGGCGCAGCGAGGGGCAGAGCCGGAGCGCCGAGGCCCGTCTGTCCGGCACGCACCTGAGGATCTCAGGGAGCCCCGCAGGGCAGCTCGCTGGCACACCTGAAGCGCTGCGTCCCACTGTCCCTCCAGACAGACTCCTAGCAAACGAAATGCACGGCTCCCTTTCTGATCATTTCCCTTGGCTTTACTTGATCACTTCCACAATGATATAAACATGATGTCTATCCACGACTGAAGGCAATAGTCAAACTACAATTTTTCTTCAGCTGAACTCTATGATATATCCATTAAAACGAGTGTGAATTATTTGACAATTTGCACACAGTTGAAAAACAAAAAGTACAACACAATCAACAGGGAAAACAACAAAACAGTGAGAACAGAGGAAGTGAGCAACCTCGGATACGCAACCCATTCTCAAGAACGGGGCGGCCTTACCCCAGGGATGAAGGTGAAGACGTTGTACTTCTGATTTTTGATGGAATTTCTGGGATGTTTCTCTTCACACTTCTCAGGATGACCGAGCCACACAGTGCGAGCTCTCAGCTCTCTCTTCCTCCGACACACAGTCATCAGCCGATCGCAGCAACTACACGAAACGGAAGATAAATACTGTGTGCGCTTTCTAAAATAAGTCCCCGTATTCATAGCCAACGATGACTGCTTTCATATTCACCGGACACTGACGGCATATCTAATGCTGATCTGTGGGGGTCTTCATAGGGCGGTCATACTAATTCACGTTGGACATGAGACACTGAGAGACGTGTGCAAGTGCGTAATGACTTCTAGAAACTCAAGGAAATGGTCTTCCCTGTCTGGACCCCTGGAAAACAAAGTGCTGAGAGCCTGGCGCAGCCTGTGCTCACACGCTGAGGGGACTCGCTGCTGGTGGCTCGGGCACCACTCGCGGTTCGCTGTGAGCCCTGCCACGCACGCACTTCCTTCCTCCTGCAAAGAGCACTTTCTAGCAGCATTCATGCAAAACGGACACGTCCGGCTCAGCTCAGAACTGACGAGCACTGGGATGGCCTAGCGATCGACGGCTCTGATGCAGCATCTCCCTCTCGGCGGCAAACACTTGGACTGCGAAGCCTCCTCGCTCCCTGCGGGGTCCCGGGAGCAGGAGCGCCTCCCCAGCCTGCACGGCCCAACCATTATTTGTAGGGAGATGGTAATATTTCCAGTGGACACTTTTTAAAACATTTTACTCCTCACCACAAAAATATTTTTCTATTTATCTCAGATAAAATGGGAGGGAGGGAAGCAAGGGGAGAGGGAGAGAGAGAGAAACACTGACGTGAGAGGGACACATCAACTGGTTGCCTCCTGCATGACCTCAACCAGGGCCGGGTACAAACTGCAACCCAGGTACATGCCCTTGACCAGAATTAAACCCGTGACTCATTGGTCCAAAGGCCGACGCTCTAACCACTGAGCAATCGGCCAGGGCGGATAATTTTTCTTAAAATGCTTCAGAAAATGATGAAAAGGTAACAAATTCATCTCTATTAAGAATAAAATCATCAAAAAAATCATTGTGAATTAAATGTCAGTAGTAACACTGGTTTAATTAGAATGGTTGATGAAGAGAAAGGTCGAACTTCATCTTTTAAACGAGTCAGGACTAGAACCTGAAGCAGCTATGACAGGACGTCTCATTGCACTTTGGGACAAGAAAGCTCGAAAGCCAACATGCACCGTGCACGACAACGAAGGCCTCAGAAGGTGTGTGTACGGTCCTGAAGTCCCGGCAAGTCCTCGGGGCACAGACCAGTCACTCAGCCACACCCAGGGCCGTTCAGAGCCGCACGGACGGGCGGCGCACGCGTCTCCTCGCCGCGGCCCAGGCGCTGTCCGAGCCAGGGGCGCTCGTGCTCAGGCTGCAGCCGGCCCCCCTTGCAGACCCGGCTCCCCTCCTGCTTCATCCGGGCGGACGAGGAAAGACCCGGCTCCGAAGGACAGACTCTCACCACTGTCTGCCATCACCCTGACACAGGTCACAACAGCCGGCCAGTGCGGCTCGTGGACTGAGCACCGTCCCGCGGACTGAGGTCCTGGCTCCACTTCCGGCAGGGCTCATGCCCGGGTTGGGGCTCCACCCCCGTAGTGGGCGCGCAGGAGGCAGCCGGTCGATGTTTGAGGTCTCTCACATCAATGTTTCTGTCTCTCTCCCCTTCCTCTCTAAACAATCAATAAAAACATACCTTGAATCGAGCACAACAGATGGCATCCCACATATGGCACACTTTCAAATCACCAACCCTGTGAACCAGGGTATGAGTAAAGTGATTTAAGGTTGTCAAAACAGCGTTCCCACCTTTGCTGGCTTTTGGTGGGAAGGCACTGGTCAAGTAGATTTTGGTAATATGTTGGTAATATATTATTTATGCTTGAATTAAACAAAAACTAAATAAGGCTTCAAATAAAATAAAATGAGCTTCCAAGTACTCTCTCTCACGTCCCTCTCCAGCCCACCTACCTTCCGACACCATACACCGTGCTGTTCACTAGTAGCCTCTCCCGAGACGCGGGACAGCCCACAGCTAAGTGCTCCTTCCTGGCTGTGCACCAGCAACTCCAAACTGCAATCTCAGACCCAGTTACGACGCGTGCTTCTGTGCCCAAAACCCCACAGTCACGTCACACACACGGCGCACATGTGTTACCCAGGCTGTGGGGGACTCTTCCTTAAACTGTAGGCTGAATCATAGTCTCAGAGAGCTGCCCGTGCACTACACAGATGCCAGACTCCTACATTCCACAGAGAAGCCTGGAGCCCCGAGGGATCAGATTCAATGAGGACAAAGCAGCAAGTGGTGGCAGAGCTGACCCGAGCCCTGTCCTTCCCGCCCCTCCTATCGACAGTCGGGTGGCTCTGCTCATTCACAGGCTGCCGTCCTCAGCCTCTGACAGAGAATAGCAGTCAAGAGACGACAAAAATAAATGAACAATTTATAAGCAGGAACAAGACTCACTGGAGAAAACACGGACTTTTAAGTCCCGTTCTGGAGACCACCCAGGGGACCGTCTGTCCGCTCACCGCGAGGCACTGGCGGGGTGAGCTGCGCACTGGGAGAACCTGCGCAGCCTGCACGCTCGGCACTCGGCTACTGTGCTGCTGCTGCCCTGCCTCCAGCGCCACAGGCCAAAGTCTCCAACCCTGGGCTCCACAGACGTGAAACCCCCGCTGTCCCACAGGCAGCCACCGAGACACGTGCCATCTCAACGTGGATAAGACCCAGCGAGACGAGCAGTCCAGCTCCTCGGCCACGTGCGCTCCGTCCCAGTGCACAGCAGCCCCTGGCCAGCGGCCACCAGACTGGACATCCCAGGCCCAGATACTCCCAGCACCGCAGGGAGCCGCTGAGCAGGCAGCGCAGCACGAGACGCTTCCAACGCGCCTCAGACAGCAGAGCCCCTCCAGGGACGTGTGCAGACAGACGGCTCTGCTCTGAACACGTAATCACCTAACCTCATGTTCAGTGTACAAGGGTCTGACAAACCTAAGATGAGAAAGAAGACAGGCAAAACATATTTGAAAAATAAGAAAATTTAGGAAATGTGGATTTTACACGTTGTGCTGGTCTCAATATATTCTTCTCCAGGCAAAGGCTCTGAGCGCAGAGCCACTGTCTGCGTCACAGGAGCACCCTGAGCATCAGCTGGGTTAGCACCTCGAGCGCAAAGCCACCACCAGCAGCACAGGAGACTGACCCCCCACCCCCTAACTTCCAAAGCCTCACACTCACCTCTAAATACCAAGGGCTGCCCTGGCCGGTTTGGCTCAGTGGTTAGAGCGTCGGCCTGCGGTCCTGAGAGACCCGGGTTCGGTTCCCGCTAAGGGCACGTACCTCGGTTGCAGTTTGTCCCCGGCCCTGGTCGGTTGTGTGGGTGGCAGCCACTCGATGTGTCCCTTCACGTCGATGTTTCTCTCTCTCTCTGTTCCTCTCTCTCCCTCCCACTCTACCTGAACAAAAAACGGAAAAATGTCCTCGGGTGAGGATAAAAAAATAAGTAAATACATACCAAGGGCTAAGAACACACACTCAACAGTTTATTCATTTTTTCTCTATGATCCTGTACAGAATAAACTAAGATTCCTAGACTTCTAAGATATAACTAAATTATTCATAATACTTTGCTACTACTAACTACTAACAAATAAAAGTGCTATTTCCAATTATTTCCTTATGTAAAGACAGAATCAAGTGATGGTCAGGGAGCCACATCCAAGTCACGCTCCACTTGAGAACACCCAGTGACTGCGCAGGCGCGTGGTGGCCAAGCCCGGCATCCACCAGAACGGCCCTGGATTACGAGAGAAAATATCACCAGAAGGAAGACAGGTGACTTAACGCTGAGAGTACAGGGCACAAAGCTCCAAACAAACTGCTTGTGACCACAAGTTGTCACAATTCAGGGCAATTGGGGCAAAGTAATATAAGTAAATTATGTTGCCAAATACTGATGGATGACAGGGAGAAACAAACAGATAAAAGTCCTTGGAAGAAAATAACCAGGAGTTTTACGTAGTAACATGTCTATGCTGCTAAATCATTTTCTATATTGTTGATGATTTAGAAGACACCTTGCCATTCATATATAAACTGCCTTACATAAATTGAACCTAACTCCAATAGTGCACAAATCATACTTTTTTCTTAAAATATTTTAGGAATAGCTTTTCACATATGCCTCCATCATCAAAGTGGCTCTCTAATGGTAAGTAATGCATCTTTACACACACACACACACACACACACACACCAAGATCCCGTCTCCTAGAACTGTAACTAGCCCTAATTAAATGAATGCCAAGATTGAGAGGCTCCTTCAAAACAAACAACTGGACAATCATTACACCCAACAGGTACCTTTGGTTACCCAGCCAAAAGCAGCCCAGCCCTCGGTCTTCAAGACCAGCACCCCCACGCCCATGCTCCTGCCCCAAGCGTGGGCAGATTAATGGAGCGCGTGGAGGCCAGGAGCAAGCCAGCACGCGATGTCGCTCTTCCCGGGAAAATGCATTCGGGCCCTGCTCTCCAGGGACAGTCCTTCTGACAGGATGAAGCGGAAACCCGTGGGAAAGCGCCCCCCCCCCCCCCCCGAGCCACACGCCTGTGCTCCACCATCACACACAGGACGCACGGTCAGAGATTTCCGAGACGGACAACAAAAAGTGTCTCCATGTGTCAGAGTTGGAATTTTTGCCAAATAATGAAAATAAGAAAGCAGCTCTTAAACCATGGAGAGCTTAGAGCTCACTCGCTCCCGGAAGAACTCTGAAGTAGGCTACTGCTCTCGGGAGCTGGAGACGCACGGAAACACTCACAACCCGTCGTGCCGGCTGCGATCTCCCCGAACTGTTCACAGCTCGTCAGTAACTTGCTATCTGCCTCACGGCCACGTCCACTACCATTTCCTCCTACAATTAGGCTAAATAAATTCATGTGTCTTCTACTCTTTGATCCATCACCTAATAATATTAGTAAGATCACATTTTATCATGCCTGGTACTTAGGATATTAAAAAGTAGCAAATATTCAAAACTGAAAATTAGTAAGAAAGAAAGAAACTACGTTGCTAAATGTACAATTTGCTCTGCGAGGTGCAGTGTTCGATATGATGACGGTGTCCCAGCACAGCAGACGCCCACTGGCCCAGAAGCCTGACAACACCGTGTCTCCACGACACTGCCGAGGTGGCTGCTTTTCCACAGGGTCACACTGACTGAGCGAGACTTTACGTCCAGGTCTGGTACACTGCACTGAGATGTTCTAATGTCTCCCAAGCATGGGTGTTTCTGCTGCTAACATCTACATTTTCAGATACGTTCTTAATATTTTACTTAAGAAAAAGAAATGTAGTACAAATAAAATCCAAAATTTGGCTGTTCCATTTGGTAAAGACAAAATCCTGTAAAAGATAAAAAATAATCATTTTAACTGTGTATTCAGCACCGTGAAGAGACTAAAAACATTAACAGTCAGTAATTCTTGGAAACTATTTGATGGTATATAAGTACCCCTTGGCCCTTTTGCAGTCCACACCATTCCCATGAAAGTGTCCATGGACTTAGAGTCTGTGCCCATCCGGACCCCCACCACTTCCTCTGTGTTCTCAGCAACGCTTTGACGTCTGCTCATTCCTCAGTAACTCTCCGTGAACACGTGAGCAGCCTCCTCAGCTCCAGGGACCCTCGTGCTCCCTCTCAGGAGTGAGACCAGGCCCTTACCCACGGAGAGCCTGCAGGTCAGGCCTGCCTCACCGGGACACCTCCTCATCCCAGCACGTTCCCCAGCCCGCAGGCAAAGGGAAGGGCTCACTTTCTGGCCTCGCTCTTCACTGTCACGAGAGGGGCCCGCCCACCTCCTGGCTGTACCCCGCGATGCCCGTGCTGTCAGCAGGCGCACTGGGCAGGCAGAGAGCACGGGAACCACCCACTGGCCCCCGTACGCATGGAGGGCGGCACACCACAGCCACCAGGCAGTGCCAGCAGCACCCCACTCCCTGCGGCCATCCCCGCCACGGCCCCACCCCGCCCCTCCACAGCCAGCTGAGTGCTCCGGCTCTCTCGCTGATGGACAAACAGTAATAAAATTATGCTGGGTTCAATACAAATGCATGGTTAGTGATTTTCCTTTGTTGATTATTGATGATCTCTACCAAAGCATGACCAATTTCCCCATTCTGTTAGTCCTCATCTGCTTCTCAGTCACCTCTCACTCAAATGAGCTCATGTTCCAATTAAGGGTAAGGGTTAGGGACTGGGGTGGGGAGGAGTATGTGAGTACAAAGAGCAGCATGAAGGAGCTCTCTCTGGTGATGGAACATCACTGCAGTGGTGGTTACACAGATCTGCACATGTGACAAAATGACAGCGAACTGTAGACATGTTTCACCATGTCAAATGGCTGGTGTGATGTCACACTACAGTCATTTAAGATGGAACCACTGGTGGAACTGCTATCTCTGCGATGTCCTATGAATCTATAATTACTTCAAATAAAAGCTTTAGAAAATGAAAGGCAAAGGATAGGAATGCAAATACTCATCAAAGAAAGCTGATATCCTTCTAGTGACGTTAGACATCCTGAACTTTCAGAGAAGAAATATTATTAGAGATAAAGCGAGACAGTAAATGACAACAAAGGGACAATCAGAAGCAAACGAATAGCCCAAATTTGCATCATCTAACAACATACTCTAAAAATATACAGAGCACGAACTGACATAATTTAAAGAAGTAGACACATCCACAGTGATCTTTAGAGACTGATGCAAGTCTCTCAGTAACTGGCAACATAAAGCAAACTGAATGTGGACAGAGAAGATTCAAATTTCACCATTAACAAGTATGATGCATCGCATACAGAACAACACACTCCACAACTGAAACACAAACTATTTTCAAATAACACAGCAAACTTACTAATGTTGTCCACAGGATGAATCATAAAGCAAGTCTCAACACATTACAAAGACTGAAATTTTTAAAATTATAAATATGTTCTCTGGCCACAGTGGAATTCAGATAGGAGTCAATTACAAAGAGATAACCAGGAAAATCTCCAACTATGTGGAAATTAATCAGCATAGTCCTAAACTGAACCTGGAAGTAGAAATAATGAAGGAAACTAGAAAATATTTTGAATGGTAAATACCATGTATCAAAATTTAAATGCATCTGTTTTTAAAAAGGAAAATAGTATAGTACTGGCAATCTGAGAATTCACCTTGGAAAGCTGGAAAAATAATAGCAAATTAAATACAAAGAAAGTATGAGCGGAAATAAAAGGAAGACCAGAGATCAATGGCAAACACCCTGAGGACACAGTACCACTCCTATGGAATTCCACCAAGAATGTTCACCCTGAATCTAACTGCAAGGAAACATCAGACAAACCAAATTTGAAGTGTCCTATAAAATCCTTGTTCTGCAGCCCTCCAAAATGTCAACAGAATGAAAGAAATACCAAGAATGACTCTAGGGTAAAGGAGACTCAAGAGGCCTGCCACCTGACACCACATCTGACTATGACCCACATCCAACACTAGGGCAAAGGTGTCCCGTGGAGGACATCATGGGACAACACACAAAACTGGAATGTGGACGTAAGTAGACATATTGTTAAATTTTCTGAATCTGGGCCCTGGCCAGTGTGGCTCAGTTGGCTGGAGCGTCGATCCCCTGTCAGGGAGCTGGAGGCCACTTATCAATGTCTCTCTTTCACACTGATGTCTGTCGCTGTCTCTCTCTCTCTTCACCCTTCCTCTCACTTAAAAAAAAAAAAAAAAAATCAATAAAATTAAATTTAAAAATATTTTTTAAATTTCCTGAATTTGGTAACTGTATAATGGTTATGTAAGAAAATACCTTTTTCCTAAGAAATACACACTGAAGTGTTAAGATGTAAAGAGCAATGAATGCCCTGGCCGGTTTGGCTCAGCGGTTAGAGTGTCGGCCTGCGGTCCAGAGAGACCCGGGTTCGGTTCCCGCTAAGGGCATGTACCTCGGTTGCAGTATGTCCCCGGCCCTGGTCGGTCGTGCGGGTGGCAGCCACTCGATGTGTCCCTTTCACATCGATGTTTCTCTCTCTCTCTCTGTTCCTCTCTCTCCCTCCCACTCTACCTGGACAAAAAAATGGGAAAATGTCCTCGGGTGAGGATAAAAAAAAAAAAAAAAAAAAAGAGCAACAAAGCAAGCAACCTAGTCTGAAAAGACTCACAATATTAGTAAGATACAAAGATATAAAAAAAATGTGCCAAAATGTTAAAAATTAGTGAATATGAGTAAAGGGCATATATGAATTCTCTGTACTGTTCTTCCAACAAATGAGTTTGAATTCATTTCAAGATAAAAGCTTAAAATTCCAAAAGTAAAGATATCACCAAAAGTTTGGCTCTTTGAAAATAATAAAATTGACAATCTCTTGTCAAGATTAATGGAAAAAAAGGACCGAGACGATGAGCACTATCAGGAGTAAAGGGGACACCCCTCTGGGGCCTCACACATTACTAGATCAGAGGGATCACATACGAGTGTGAAGACAGACAAACCTGTGAAAAGCACCAAGCACCACAGTGACTCAGAACAACAAAATCTGCAGTCTCCATCTAGATCGACCCTAGAACTGAGTATGTACCCACACACAACACTCCTAGGATGTTGGCTATTTAACTTAGAATGTGGGTTTTTTTTTTAAGCCATAAATACTTATTATTAAACGCGTAGCACAAGTCAGTGACGTGTAAAACACTGTTTGGCCTCGGAGCCTTCCCGTGAAAGTGCACAGGATATGAGACGATGGAGACGGGCTGTGTAGCTGGAGGCTGAGGGACAAGGAGCCTGAACCCTGGGCCTCACCTCTTGGTTCCACGTCGCCAGCCCCTGAGGGACTGCTCGTCCCTGGGATCCACAGAACACAGTCTGAACACCGCTCATGAGCTGACCCAGAAATCAGATGAGGTATACAGACACCTGTTTGCAAACTTCTAACGGATAATGAGGATGACAAACAGGACGTTTCTACAATCACTTGCACTGCTTTCATGGCCAAGGGGGTGAGTTCACGGCCGTAACAAAGGCACTGACTGCACATCCTGAGCGGCAGAAAGACTGACAGCTGTAACTCCCTCTGCCCCAGTCAGGACGCCTCAGTCTCTGCAGCCCTGTCCTGCCCGGTCCAGGGGTAGGCAGCCCAGTCAGTGGCAAGGAGTCCTGGACACACAACATGCTCTCACCTGCCAAATTCTAAGGTCAAAGGTGGACAGAATCCACACACACAACAAGTTACCACCAGTGAACTTGTTTAAAATGTAAGTTCTTATCATCACTTCTTTCTGGTGTAAATGAACAGAAGACTCTTACTCCAAGTCCAAGCATGAAGCCCAATAACATGCACAGCGACACAGCAGTTGAACGCATTTGGGGCAAGTCCATCTTGTGGAATGGGGGCACGGCGGCAGATGGAAGAGGAAGGAACACAGTCTGTGAATGCTGACACGGCACAGAACTAATTTTACCATGCATTAATTACAGAATCACAAATTTTGTCCATTTTTAAACATTAAAACATCTGTAAAGTATATCATTTTCTAACTACTATGCCATACACCTGAAACTAATACAGAATAATACTGACTATAAACTGTAATCGAAGAAAAACTTCTGTAATAGCTAAAAAAAAGCTCACAAAAGAAGTGAACTCGGCTTTCTGTGCCTTTCAGATCAGCGCTTGGCCCCGACTCACGCTGCAGTCTCCGCGACATCGTCAGAGCGTCTGCTTCAGTCTGATACCAACGGCTTGGCGAAGCTACGCTTCTCGTGCCGCCACGGTGCCGCTGGTGCCGGGAGGGGCCTGGGCCGCGGGCACTCACCTGGCGCAGAGGGACTTCCAGCCTCCGCAGAGGAGCCAGCGCAGCCCTCGCCTTCTCCGCAGGGCCCTGGCTCGGGGCAGCGTGTGGTAGTCGCTTTCGTCGTTCTCGAAGCCTTCCTCAGACATCATCAGTGGCATCTCATCCAGATGGGCACACTCGTCTTCCAGGTGGTATCTGGTTAAAGGTAAGAACAGACCAGAGAAGAACTGGAAGATGCAATCAAAAACCTGTTTTTGTTTTTCTTTGTGATGTAAGTAAACTAATCGCAGGTTCTCACTGACCCGTGGAAATTTAAAACGTATACAAGATTCATCTACAAAGATGATCATCATGTGCTGCGCTATTTAAAAGTTCACCCAAGCCCTGGTTGTCTTCAGATAGAGTTGATGTTTCTCTCTCTTCCCAGCTCTCTCTCTCCCGCTCAGCAGTTAGAGCACTGACCCACTGACCAAAAGGTGCAAAAAGGCTCAGTGGTTAGAGCATTGGCCTGCGGACCAATGAGTCCAGAGTTCGATTCCAGTCAAGGGCATGTACCTCGGTTGTGGTTCGTCCCCGGCACTGGTCAGGGTTGTGTGGGAGGCAACCGGTCGATGTGTCTGTCACATCGAGGTTTCTCTTTCCCTCCCTCCCACTCTATCTGAAGATAAGTGGAAAAATATCCTTGGGTGAGAATTTTAAAAAAAGTTAAAAAGATAAATAAATAAAAGTGCACCCAAAATGTATAGGAAACTTTAATATCGATGATCAGACTTGGCTAAATACAAATTTGAATACCATATTGTCACTAAAAACAGTAAGGTAGAAGAGTTTTTTGTTGAAAATATGCTAGGACATGTAGTAGTCACTTATTTGCACCTTCTTTTTAAATCATTGTTTAGAGAGAGTGGAAGAAGAGAGAGAGAAACATCGATGAGGTGTTCTGGTCTCCCCACAAAACCCCCACAGACAACTGCACTCACCACCAACACCATCGCAGAACAGCCCACTACGGCAGTCATTTTAGGTAATTTAGGCAAAAAATTATATGATCTGTGTACAGGCCTAAAACAGAATTAATGTTTCCTCTAAAGAATGCTTTTTTCTTATTCTCTATGTAAGACAGTAAACTAGAAAATGAATATTTATACAAAATGCAACTGAAATTCAAACACTACTCAGATGCACTGCCGCAGTGCGTGAGAGCGCCGCCCCTCGTCAGCGCTGGCAGCCTGGCTGCCGCCGGGAGGGCGCGTGCCCCGCTCGACCTGCGGACAGATGGGGTCGCGGCAGCACGTGGCAGGGGCCTCGACTTCAGAGAGAGCCTTGGGACTGGCAGGCACCTTATCCCACTTCCAAAGCAGTTTTCCTGCTGTGGTACTGAGATTTCACCTCAGTATATGAAAACAATAAGATGATGAATAATGGATTTTCCAGAGATAGGCTGAGCAGAGAATCTTGAGTGTCTTTGTTGCCTGGTGTCATACGCACGTAATTGGTTTGTCACTCAAGAAAAATAAACGTTTCCAGCAATTAAGTATAATTCTGAACGTATTTTTAAACCGAGTAAAACAATGTGAACAAAGACGGCAGAACGAGCGATGCTGAACCCGAGTCCTGCAACAGGAGAAACGCAGACAGCTATCTAACTGCCACCAAAGGTCTAAAAAATCAACTGTCAACAAAACACTCAAGTACTGGAAGGCGCACGATTCACACGAACCTAAGTAAAAGCAGGTCAATACAATAACTAGCTTAAACTCACGTTTTTATCTTAAATATCTAACAGCTTTATTGTTTCCATTTTGATGAGAAACATTTCTGAGAAGTCAACTGCTTTTTAACAGAGAAATACATTTAAAATACGCCTAATGCTTAAGCCTTCTTTAAGAAAAATAAACAATTCCCCCTTCGCCTGCATGTTAGTGAAGTAAACAAAACCAACGTGCTGTAAGAACTGAGAATGTTTCCTTCATCAAATACACCTTCCAAGTTTATTATGTCACTGGTGAGTCATTAACAGGTAGTAAAACCATATGAACTACCAGAAAAACTGGAATTGTCCTTCCTATAGCATCAGAGGAGCTAAACAAAGGGGAAAAAAGGAAGAAAGAATCTAACTAAAGCGATAGTAAAGACAAGGGTCAGTCAGCCCCTCAAGATGAGAGGGGGCCCACGTGAACTGTGTGCACAGTGACCTTGGAGCTCTTGGCTCCTCTTCTGAGATATTTAGTAAGAAACTTAAATACCAACTGGCTGGTGTGACCCCCGCACCAAGAGGCTGTTGGTTCGATTCCCCGGCAGGGCACATGCCCAGGTTGTGGGCCTGATCCCCACAGGGGGGCGTGCAGGAGGCGGCCAATCGATATTCTCTCTCATGGATGTTTCTCTCTCCCTCTCTCCTTTCCTCTCTCTCTCAAATCAATAAAGAAAAAAAATTAAAGAAACTTAAATACTAATTTCTTGACACAAGAAATTATACCAAGCCCTGGCCGGTTTGGTTCAGCGGTTAGAGTGTCGGCCTACAGACCAGAGAGTCCCAGGTTCAGTTCCGGCTAAGGGCACGCACCTTGGTAACAGTTTGTCACTGGCCCTGGTTGGGGTCGTGTGGGTGGCAACCACTCGATGTGTCCCTTTCACGTTGATGTCTCTCTCTCTTCCCATCTCTCTCTCTCCTGCTCAGCAGTTAGAGCACTGACCCACTGACCAAAAGGTACAAAAATAGCCTCGGGTGAGGATAAAAAAAAAAAAATTACACCAATGCCATACATACACTGAGACAACCCTCAACCAGAGTCAAAGAACGATGCCTAATGTTTGTTAATACCACTCCAGAAATTTAAAAACAAGTGAGCCGCCCTGGCCGGTTTGGCTCAGCGGTTAGAGCCTGCGGTCCGGAGAGACCCGGGTTCGGTTCCTGCTAAGGGCACGTACCTCGGTTGCAGTTTGTCGCCGGCCTGGTTGGGGTCGTGTGGGTGGCAACTGCTCGGTGTGTCTCTCTCACATCGATGTTTCTCTCTCTGTCTCCCTTCTTCTCTCCTTCCCGCTCTATCTGAAGATAAACGTAAAAATATGTCCTCAGGTGAGGATAAAAAAAAATATTTTCACATCCTCATCAGTTATAAAAATTTTCAAGATTCAAAGAAAATTGTGTATATACACTCAGAATGTGAAAACTAGCATTTAAAAAATTTGTGTTGCCCTGGCCAGGTTTGCTCAACAGTAAGAGCATCAGCCTGCTGACCAGATTATCCTGGGTTCAGTTCCCACTAAGGGCACGTACCTCGGTTGTAGTTTGTCCCCAGACCCAGTTGGGGTCATGTAGGTGGCAGCCAGTTGATGTGTCTCTCTCACATTGATGTTTCTCTCTCTCTCTTGCCCCCTCTCTCCCTCCCGCTCTATCTGAAGATAAATGCAAAAATGTCCTCAGGTGAGGATAAAAAAAAATGTGCTGCTGCTACCAAGACATGTTTTAGAGATAATTAGACAATATTTTAGAGATAATCAGACAACAGACATCTGTTCTCAGCATGAGTCTCTTGTAAACCCTAAAGTTTAACTACTATAATCCTGCAAATACCTCTAGGCAGGGCCAAGGACACATTGCACAGAGGAGAAAGGACAGCAGGTGCCAACAGACACTGAGAAACAGAACCAGGTCCAGTGCCACTTGTCCCTCAGTCGCACATGACGAGAACATGAATGACGAGGTACCACCTGAAAAAGAGCGGCAACTCTGACCGGTCAGGGTCGGCAGCTAGAGCGCTGGCCCGCAGACCGAAGGGACTTAGGCTTGATTCCCGGTCAAGGGCACATACCTGGGTGTAGTGCAATTCCCGGCCCCGGTCAGCGTGGTTCAGGAGGCAACCCATCCATGTCTTTCTCTCACATCCATGTTTCTCTGTCTCTCTCTCTCTCTCCCTTCCACTCTCTCTAAAAATCAATGGAAAAATATCCTGGGGTGAGAGTTAACCAAAAAAGTAAAAGACAGATTTAGAAATCATCAAATTAACAAAAACCTTACTTTTACTCATGCCGTCATAATGGAAGAGAGAAACTGATGCCTCATTTAGCTTTATAGAAAATGATCTTACTAAGTAACTGCATTCCTAGTGAACTATTAAAAACTATGTATGGCACACAGCATTTCACTTACCTAATAACATATACATATACATATACATATACATATACATATACATATACATATACATATAGTCGTCCCTCATTTATCGCGGTTAATCCGTTCCAGACTCTAGCAGCTGCACCTGGCACTGAAGGATCCCTGGGTGCTCGAATACATAGGCCTCCAGTCCACACGTATAGTAATTTTAATTGTAACTGTAACACAGGGGTGTATAACTGACTCAGACAACCAAGCACACGCTGTATCATGTTCACTGTCTCAATCAAATTTTTAATGAATATATTTGAAAAAACCATGATACAGTGAGGCCACTAAAGTCGAAGCAAGAAGTGGCGAGGGATGACTGTACATATATAAAGAAACATCTCACTCTTTAGTATAATAAAGAAAACAATGTGATATTGAATTTTTAACATTTATTAAACTATTCTTAAATCACATCTAATTCTTCCCCTGGAAATTTTCATAAAACACAAACCCAATGATAAAGTTTTTATTAAGCTATAACAATTTACCAACATTATGTTTAAAATATATTGTATTTTCTTTTCTTTTCTTTTCTTTTCTTTTCTTTTCTTTTCTTTTCTTTTCTTTATCCTCACCTGAGGACATTTTTCCATTTTTTGTTCAGATAGAGCAGGAGGAAGAAAGAAACATTGACGTGAAAGGGACACATTGAGTGCTTGCCACCTGCACAACCCAACCAGGGCCAGGGACAAACTGCAACCGAGGTACGTGCCCTTAGTGGGAACGGAACCCGGGTCTCTCTGGACCACAGGCCAATGCTCTAACTGCTGAGCCAAACCAGCCAGGGTAATATATTGTGTTTTAAACTGGCATGATTATAATGAAATAAAAATTCACTTCAAAGAAAATTTGAGAACCTTTATATTTTTAATCCTCACCCAAGGACATTTTTGCATTTTTCTTCAGATAGAGCTGGAGGGGGGGGGGGGGAGAGAGAGAGAGAGAAACATCGATGTGAGAGAGACAAACTGTAACCGAAGTACGTGCCTTTAGTGGGAACCAAACCCGGGTCTCTCTGTTCCTC